CCCTGCGTGCCCCGCCCCCCCTGCATGTCCTGCTGCCTACAGCCAGCTTCCAGTGCAGGGAGGGGTGTGGAGCAGTGCTTGGCTGCTGGGTGCTGCACAGTGAACTTCCACAGGGGACACGTCCCACTCTGCAGTTGTGTGCTGCATTTAGTGGGCGCTGCCCACACCCCCCTGCCCACTGCCCTTGCGGCACCCTGTGGCCATGCCCCACATCCCCTCCCCCTTGCGTGGGAAGTGATCCCTGCACCAGCTTCCCTCATGGCACCCTACGGCCATGTGCCTGGGCAGGCGCCAGACTGCAGACGGCGGGTGCTGTCCATGCCCCCCCCGCCCAATCCCCTCACACCACCCTGTGGCTCCGCACTCCATGCCCCCACCACGCACCATGCCACTCCCTGCATGGAGGGTGCCTGCTAGCTGCAAGCCATGGAGGGGTCATGGGGTAGGTGCATGGCCACAGGCAGCCCCAAGGGGAGTGAGCAGGGGGATGCCGGCAGCACCTGCCAGCTGCAGCATGTGGCCGCAGAGCAGGGTGCACCCCGCATGCCCACTCTCTGCAGCCACATGCCATGCCTCTCCCAAGTTTTGGTGCTCCTGGTGCGGGGAAGGCATGGCCCTTGGCAGTGCACCAAAACTCATTAAGTGGCCCTCCAGCTGAAATAATTGCCCATCCCTATGTTAGATCAAGAACACACAAACACTCTGAAGAAATTGGGTTAAATGTAAATGTAGTTTTTCTTAGACTGCCAATGTCATTCAGTATATCAGATGGAGAAAGGAAACAGAAATATCAATAAAAGGAAAGGTGCCATGGGGTAATTATTCAAATATGTACACATAGCTCATACATACTAAAATCAGAAATTTACAAACAGCATCTGGTTAGATAAAAATGTAATTGCAATGTGCAAATTTTGCATATACATGAGAAGAGGCCATTTAAGAAGTGTCCCATAACACAGAAAGAAAAAAATGATTGGAACCAAAATTACAAAAAAGCATAAATAAAAACAAAAGAAACAGCAGGATGGCTGGGACTATTCTACATAAACTAAAATGACAGAGTCCTTATAATCCAGTTTTAAAAAAGGTTGGGGAGGGAATCACATTAGGACAGTATTCCCATTGGTAGATGCAAAAAAAAAAAAAAAAAGTGTGGAAAACAGCTGTAGTAACAAGCAGAAGCCTGCCCAGTTGTAGATCAATTCAGTTGTTTCCTCCCACAATGACTGTTTCATGCCAAGTATAGAAGCCATCCTGGAAACAAGAACCAGAACCTTGGGGCACCTATACACAAACAGCAAGGCTGCTTCAACATGCTGTAATTCCAGTGCATCGGAGCAGACTTGATTGATCAGGTCTGCTGGAGCATGGTAATTATTGCACTCCAGCATCTCATGCATCAGCATCCCCGCACTGAAAAATGGTGCATGGTGCTCGTTCGATGAGCTTTAGATAAAATGTCCCCGCCACCATTTTTAAGCACAGGGCGGTGATACACAAGACACTCCAGGCACTTTAATTAGAGAGGCTCTGAGAGCCACTCTAATTAAAGCACCACCACCCCACTCCCAGAGCATGTGTATAAATGCCCTAGAGCTCCCTGTTTTTGCTGAGTATCCTGACCACTAGGCTATAAAATAAGACTTCTTTTTGCATTCATTCACTCTCTCTATAACCACAAATTTTGCACTCATTTCTGCCCAGTGGCCCAGCTTCAACAGAAGGGGTGCTGGCAGGGTACCTCCTAACAGATATAGCCCTGTGGTTAGGTATAGTTGATGTAGAAATTAAACCTGTGTGTCCCGCATCCTAAGCAAATCCTCTAACCAGTAGGTATCCTCCATAGAAAAGAATAAGCCCTTGTCAGTTTTTTAAAAGAGAGGTTGTACATGCCTACCCGCAGGAGAGGTTTTCAAGCTGTGGTTCTCAAATGCACTGAGGGTTCCTCCATGCAGCACCCAGAGGCATCTAAGTCTCAGAAAGAGGTAGGGTTTCAGATACACTACTGTCCTCAGTATTTTCTCTTTGCAGCTCCAGTTTGAGCATGGTGGCTGCTCTGGATCCCATTTTGCAGTATCTAAGTTTCTCAGTACACTTAACCTGGAGCCAAGGTACCTCGCTTCTGGATTCACTGTAGGGGCCAAGTACCTCTAGGCTAGAGACAGAAGTTACACATAAACCAATTTAAGTGATCAGAAACCAGTTTAAACCTGTAAACAGAACAGAAGATCAGTGCACATAAACCAGCTTCAAAATGGCTGAAACTGGTTTAAGATAAACCTGGTTGAATGTATCAGACTTAACTGATTTTGGTCAAACCAGTTTATGAAACTTCTGACCCAGACCCCTTCCTGGTTCAAGTTAAATCACAGTCCCCCAGCATGCTTTCCAGCCCTGGGCTGGGCTGTGCTGTCTGCTCCAGAGAGCAAGGCTGGCCCTGCCCCCCTGGTCACTAGCTGGAGCAGTAAGGGCTGGTTGACAAGGGGGTGGGGGAGGGAGGGGGCAAGGTCGGCTGAGGATGCAGCAGAGTCTGGGAAGGGGGAGCTGCTCCCCCCGGCAAACCCCAACTGAGGTCTGGGGCCAGGGAGGGGGGTTAAACACCCTTTTCCCCACTCAAATTTACTGCTGGCTCTAACTGTGGACTACAAATCCCAGAGGTGCCTGGAAGCAGAAAGAGGAAGTGATGAGCAACCCTGCAGAGTCCTGCTGCTGTAATTCTGGACTGCGAGTTCCAGAGACCTTGGGGGCCTCAGGGAGAGGAAGTGAACTGAGCCACTGCAGGTATGTGGCTGCATTTCCTGAATCAAAGCTAAATGTCTGTTCACTTCTGTTTCAATTTAATCTGTGCAGCTTAGACTAACCTGCAAAGACTAAATCGATACATCCTCAGGCTTTTTGACTGTCTTTACCTAGCCCTAAAGTTGGGTAGTGCACCACCTACATTCTAGGCACCTAAATCCTTTATTAGATCTGACCCTCAGTGAGTTTGAGGTCACGGAAGAAGTCTGTTAAATCAGGAACATGAACTGAGGTCTCCCAACACCTGACCTAGCACCTTAACTCCTAGACTATATTTTCCTTCCTTCCTATACTTGAGGCTCTGTAATAACACTGGATAAGACTACATAAACTGTCAGCACAGCTCTACGTGCTCCTGCTGGGATTGCATAGGATGGTGGGAGCCAACTTTTTTGGCAGGTGTGACACAAATTAAGCTCTGTACCCTCCCAGGGTGCCACTCCAATCCCCTTCCCAGCCAATCTGCTGCCCTGCTTTCTGCTTCCTGCCCTGTCCTCCTGGAGCTATCTGCCCTATGCTGAGTTTTCCTGCCCCAATCTGCCATGTGCCACATGCAAAGGCTGTCTGTGCCACTAGAGGCATGTGCACTACAAGTTAACCACCCTGGCATATTATGTAAGCCAGCTCTGAATCTGACCCCCCTGGGTCTTCCCTAAGTTACATATCTGTAACCCCTACTGGCGTCAGTGGTTCAAATTTCATGGAGTCATTACTGACTCCATGAAACCACATTGTCTTAGCTGGTGTGGCACAGTCTGCTAGTCTGCCCTGGATTTGGCTGAGTTGTAGTTTCTCATTAGATGAGAGCAGTAATAGGTGTATCCTGCAAAATACAGGTCTGAAAAACTAAACCACCCTGAGCAGCAGTAGTAGAAAGAAGGGATAATGTGAATATTATATGCCATTTTCTAGTACAGCAAATATTCATGGTGTTACTTTCCATAACTAAAAAAGTTATGTTTTTGTAGTAAAATTCTCTCCCTAAGTATAGTATTTACATAGAGTAGAGGGTTGATGATGGCTGATTCACTTAATAAATCTTATTCCTTAAAACACGCTAATGCCAAAAATGTCCAAGTAACATGTTATTTCTACATTTTTTTGCCATCCAAAGCTGCTTATTTAAATAACTTTATACAGCACAGTGTGTCACAGATCTAACAGTTACTGGAAACTGTTAACACTGGAATATCAACAGCCAACTGCAAGAAAGATTTTCTGGTTTGCTGTGAAGGATACCCGTTACCGTCAGCAGCTTGCAGCAAGAGAATGAAAGCAGATGAGCGACTGAAATCAAGCCGATCAAAAGGATGAGGCAAGCTAACCGAACCGTAACTCATTTATATTACACAGCTGTTTTATGACTCAGTTTCAAATTCTTGAAGGCAACTGCCATATCAAGTCCACTGCCTAATTATCTTTACCCCTTTACGAGCCGCCTCTCTTTCCACAGCAAGCACCAGACCAAAATTCTAACCTCAATTATTATGTCACGTTTTCCGTACTCTAGAGACTTTTTTTCCAATCTTAAAGAGTTATTTTATTTTATTTGAAGGAAGGCAACAAAAATGAACAAAAAAAATGAATTTCCATAACTGAGCACAGAGAAAAAATGGTTGCTACACTTTACACATAAGCAGAGGAACCTAAAACCTGAATCCAAATCTCAACCCTGATTGCTAAAAAGTTTGGACACAGATCCCCATCTGCATTCTGATGCTAGGATCGGTCTCGGATTTTCACTGAACCCAGTCTGTGGTTAGACTGAGCACCGAGTCATCTGGAATTTCATTTTTACCTGGCATCCCAGCAGGTCCAGGAGGTCCTGGTGGCCCTTGATAGAGTTTCATTCCAAAATCTCCACGACAGCAGGCACTGCAGTCTGTATTCTGGGGTCCACTCGGAGGGGGCTGAGTGCACAAAAATGCACAGTATTTAAATACAGCATTCTGGGATTTCACTGGCTAAACATACACATATGCATCCTGGTAGCAAGGGCTGCATTACAGCCCTAAATTGGTATATTCTGATAAACTCTCGGGACATTTCTCTTTTTTATATATCCCAAGCTCAGTGTCCATTTAAACCTTTAAAACTGAGGTCCTTCAATTGTTTCTGAGTTACAATATCAAAGAAAAATCTTCCTTTTGAAAAAAAATACTTGACTTTCACATGAATTCCAAAGAAAAAGTGTGCAAATCTGCCTCATGTAATGAGCAAAATGAATCTTTTGCTAATAAAACAACTATGCTACACACAGTGAGTTATTTATCTAGGCAGGATGAGATATAAGTTTTTACATAATTTCTTTTTTTCCTTTTTTTTATTTGTTATAAAAAAGAATTTCAAATGGAGATATTGTGAGGACTTTTGTGAAAAATTCAGTATATAGGTGAGGCTATCTGGTAACACTCAAGTCTTAGCCCTGTTGGTGTAATAATTTTACTCTGATTAAATGTTATTCTTCAGGTGCATGTAAATAACTGAATTTGGGCCAAGTAATTTTGCTAATTTCTTGTTAATGCTAGTTACTGATACTTGAATCCACGTTTCTGGGTGTAATACTCTGTCTGGTATAGACGAATGCATTTCTGATAGGAAAACTTTCTCTTCTCTTCTTATGTCTCTTTTTCTCTTTGTGTTTTACTTTTCCTAGATTCTTGTCTCGTCCCAATCATGGGTGACCACTTGTATTTCTATCCTATGCATTCTCTTGCTTCCCTCCTTGCCTCTAATTTCATACTGATACAGGCTTATCTACACTTCCTCTGTACCAAGCCTGGGAGCTCCCATTTGCACATGCGCTAGATCCTGGAAATGAGGTAATACAGCTGCATTGGTACCCAAATCACTCTCGTGATGTCTGTCTCGAGAGTTCTGACCAGTGTAATTTCACAGCTGTTCTAAAGTGATGCATTGTTTGATTTCAGGGAGTCGATATGCACCAAGTGGGTGGGGAGTGATTCCCAGCAGTGCTCTGTATACTACTAGGAATTGCACAGCTGATATTTTGGGGGGGCCTAATATTCAATTAGGCAATTCCAAGGTCCACCCTCCAGGTCCTAGGATAGTAGGATGAGGTGTGTCCCCAAGGGCTGACTCTGGAGCAGTGCCACCCTGTGGGATCCTAGTGTCATGACTAAGATATCAGGATTTCATGACCTCCACATCAGGAGGCACTACTTCACTGTCAGGGCGGCTAGGAGCTGGAACCAACTTCCAAGGGAAGTGGTGCTTGCCCCTACAGGAGGCTAGACAGCCACCTAGCCGGGGTCGTTTGGCCCGAACATCCTTTCCTGCCCATGGCAGGGGGTCGGACTTGATGATCTGCTTAGGTCCCTTCAGACCCTACCTACTATGAAACTATGAAAATAAAAAATCTGAGTAACTAAAAATCATAGACCACTGAGCACAGAATCCTGCAATTCACTGCACACAGGGACAGGAGCACGCCTGCACGTACTCTCACTACCTCTGCAGGATTCTGGTCAGGCAAGCCAGTCTGGATGCAAAAAAGCAGTGGGATCAGAGCTGTGGCTTGAAGCATCTTCAATCAAAAGCACTCACTCTGCTAAATCTGAATGAGCATAGACCTGGATTTTCAAAAGTGTAAGTGTAAAAAAAAAAAAAAAATCACTAAATTCTAATAATGCCAAAAACTGACCTGGACATATATAAGGTGTTGTGAACATGTGACTTAGACCTGTGCAAGACTTTTTAGGCACATCTGAAATTTAAGCACTTATGGAAATATAACATTGCAGGAATTTGGTTATATATACTGTGTGCATGTATGGGCACAAGAGGGATTACAGAGCTCTTCCAACAAGACACTATTCCTATTATCAAAATAATTTATCAAGGATAAAGTAATAATTAGCCATATTTATTACAGTAATAAAGTCTGATAACAGTTAATGTTCATCCCAAAATATTATGCATACGCAAGTGGCTTCACATTCAAGTGGGCTTCACATTCAAGGACTAATATTTTTCAAACTGCAAGTGGTTTTCAGAATTATTCACAAGGAAATAGTGAAGTTACAAGGCCTGTGAAGGGCTACTTGAAGTGAACCATCCCTTTTCCTCTCTCTCTTTTTAACACCCAGCTAGACAAAGGTTTGGCTGGGATGATCCAATTGGGATTGGTCCTGCTTTGAACAGGGGGTTGGACTAGATGACCTCCTGAGGTCCTTTCCACTCCTAATTTTCTGTGATTCTATGATAATTCTAATTTCATATCTTCATTCCCACTTAGGGTGACCACCTTTTCCTGATGCAAAAGCAGAATACATGTCCCCCTGACACCTTCCGGACAAGCTACGCATGGCTCTGTCCTGTTCCCCACCCTGGCCCCACAGCTGTGCATTTCTGCCCTGGCCCTGGGCCCCAGGCCCTATGCACCACCCCAGCTGAGCAGCATCCCCAGCCTCAGCCGCCAATCCTGCCTCACTCCCTCCCTCACTGTGGGGGCCTCGGTCTTCTCCCTCCCCCCACCCCAGCCTACCACCTCCCTCCCATGTTGCCTATACCCCTTCCCCCCACAGACTTACCTGCAGGCAGCTGGGGGAGCTGCTCTCCACTACTGCATGGGGCTGTATTCCCAGCCATGTGCATGTGTGCATGCATACATATACAAATGGCACCCCCTGGGTCCTGCTTCTCCCAGCCCCAAGCAGCCCTTGCAGGCTGGAACTCTTCCAGCTTGCAAGGGGAAACCCATGGTTTCCTGTTGTCTCATGGCAAACAGAAAACCTGGATCCCTGCACATGATACTGGGATGATAGTTGACAGTGTCCAGGGGAATCTGGGCCAAATGCTGTCCTGGAGCCATTGAGCCTGGGACTGGGATTTGATGTTCACATTTCAGGACTGTCCTGCCCAATTAGGGATGGATGGTCACCTGTTCCAAGTAGGTATCTTGTCTTTGCCCCTATTGCCAACTTTGCCTTTATGGAAAAGCTGAAGTAGTCTTTTATTTTGGAGGATATACCTTGATTATTCTTAATCTCTACCCCATCCTCCCTGCTTTCACAACTTTTTTTTTTAATTTGTATGACTGAAGAACATTTTGCTATTTATTTTTCTGTCCTTTGCAAGGCCTAAGACAGCTTGAATTCTGGCAATTCTTACTTTATCCTTACACTTCTTGACTTCATGTTGGCTTTTATCCTTACAAATCCTTTGATTTCAGAGTGAAAAATCTGGTCACATTCAATGTCCCAAGTACAATGAATATTCAGGAGAGGTCTCAAGCAACACAGAGCTCCATGCAGATGAATAATACATTTTAATACATTTTAAAGTACAAATCTGGGGATTTGAGACTTAAATATGAAAGATGGATAATGCAAAGCTGCTTTCCCTAAACTGGGGAAGATTCATTTTCAACTCACTTGTCAAAGTCCTTACAAACTTTGTTGCTTGAAGAGTTTGTGCAATTTTTTTCCTAAACATAAATACAATTCAGTAGGCTGTGAAAAGCCTCTCACAGTTTTGCTGAGATGGATGGGAAATTAGGGTGACAGGGAGCACTGAAGATATTTGCTCTATAACTTGATCTAAACTGTATATGTTTGCATTACCTTAATTTGATAGTCACTAAATCTATAGGTGCAGAAAGACACAACTCATGGGCTGGGAGTCTTGCCTTGCTGATCCCCTCTCTCCCAGATCAGCTTGGGAGAGGACTGGAGCAATGGGGCAAAGCCACCTACCTGCTCCCCTGACCAGGGTCCCAGATCTGAGGAGAAGGCAGGGAGCTTGCTCTGCTGCTCCCTCCACAGACAGGACAGCAGGAGCTACAGCAAGGAGAGCTCTCCCCAGCACATTTTCTGGCTCCACAGATTTTAAAAGCACCACCTGCACTGCCCAGCTAGGCAAGAGGGGCAGAGTTATTTTTCTAGTGGTAAGAATTTCAGAGAAAATGGAAACGAGAAAAGGCCCAGCAGAGAATTCTCTCAGCACCGGCACTGACTTCCATATCTTAGAGATGGGCTGCATTTTAGGGTCAGGGCATTCCCTTGCATTGCCAGCTGCAAGTATTCTCAGCTGGAACTTGTTTTTAAATTTTGTTTCCAGGGTCAAATCAGTTCTGAATTAAGTTTCAAATTTTGACTGAGCAGAGCTCAATCATTCAAGTCTGTGTGGCACTACTACCAGTACATATCCTACTTCCTGGACTCAGTCTGAGGCTTCAGCTACTCCCAAATCAATGGCAGGAATCCTACGTCCAGGCTGGAGGCCTTGGTGTTCAGATACCGCATAGTCTCGCTTTCCCTTAGCCAAAAGTTTGAAGGAGCAAGCTAGGGGGAAAGCCCAAAAGCAATCCCCCGTCGCCATAAATTGTGTAGCTGAGAGCCTCGCATTTGTAGACTCTCGCAGGGATTGACCTGTCCACGGTGCAAGGGCCAGGCCTTCACCCTCTAGCTACACCAAGCCATTCAAGGCTGAGACTTTTATTTATTTATTTTTATATAGAAAATTTTTCATGTCCCAAGTCAAATCAGCCAGAACAATTCTGAAGCCGTGAGTCATTCAAAAACCATACGTGGTCCTGCTACCAGCAAGCATCCTCCACCCCTGCCTGGGACTTCAGATACTTCCAAATCCTTTGGTGGGTATCCTACATGTAGATCCAAACCTGCAGGACACAATTAATACCAAGCAGCTCACAGTCATCTCTTGTGGAAGGAAGTTGTTCACCATAAATTAGATCAGCTCCTGGCAGCTCTGCTTACCAGGGATGGTGATGACAAATCCCTTGGAACAGCTTATAGCCACATTTGTTCCCCCAAAATAAACAGACTCTGCAGATATAATCCAACTTTTCTACTAGCCAGCTCATGCTGGACTCTCCCTATTGTATCTTGGCTATGGTTTCATCTCATTTTAAGTGACTCATGAGTTGTTTCTCTCTGCAAGGGAGATTCTCTCTCAGACACTGGAATAATATGCAAATGCCATAAATTCAACTGTATTCTTATTGGTTAGAGTCACACTTTTTCACCCAATAAGCAGTTCAGTACTGTAGGTGTAAAAATAACATGAATAATTATACACATGTCCCCATGTATTTCAATGGTACTCTGCATCTGGGACTAGAACTTCTATTACTTACAAGCAATTTGTATTAAATCATATAACCAAAACTAAATTAAAATGTAGTCCCTACCTTTCTGCTCCCCCCCATTCAAATTGTATAGTCCTTCACTAGCATGCCATGTGAGAGAGAGCAGAACAAATAGAATAAAAATCTCCAAGGGGGCTTTCAATGCACTCTACTACAATAGGTTTGAGGACCTACCCTGAAATCTCCTAGATTAGCAAAGATGATGCACAGTTAGCAGGTCTGCAGTCACTGAGGAGAAATGGGAGCAATAATACTACTTTTTTTTGTGCCTCCATTGCTTGAAGTACCCTCTAGACTAGGGACAGATATTACACATAAACCAATTTAAGTAATCAGAAACTGGTTTAAACCTGTAACAGAACAGACATTCAATGCACATAAGCCAGTCTGAAAATGGCTGAAACCTGTTTGAGATAAATCCGGTTGAATGTAGTATCAGACTTAACTGTTTTGGGTCAAGCCAGTTTATGCAATGTCTATCCCAGACCGCTTGCTGGTTTAAAGTAAACCAGACACCCCCAGCATCCCAGCATGCTTTCTGGGCTGGACAGGGCTCTCTGCTCCACAGCAGAACTGGCCCTTCCCCTCTCCTCTCTGGCTTGAAGTCTAGCAGAGGCTGCAGGTACAGTAGGGTCTGCCTGGCTTTTCCTGCCCCACCCCACCCTCGCTGTTCACTGCTCAAGAAGGAATCCCCCGCCTACCTTCCGGACTCCTACCTTCCCATCTCCCACAGCATGGACCCCAGCCCCATGGACACTAGGCATGTGGTATGCTAGCTAATGCTGATAGGTATCTGTGTATGTGTCTCTGATTTCACTGGGACAGGCAGATAGAGCAGTGACCATTTAGGGCTAATCAACAGATTGGAGCTAATCAACAGGTCAGCTGGTAAACTGTTTAAGAAGAGTTTGAACTAATGGAGAGAGGCTGTTGTTTTGCTGATGGGGTGATAAACACTGTTATCAGCCCCCTGCTGGCTTGCTTACCTGTCAGTTTGCTGCAGACAGTATAAAGAAGATTTAAAAGCTCTGTATCACCAACAGATGCATGCACTACACACTATCCCTTGCCTCAGAGTGTTGGCTGGGGTCTGGGGTCCAGCAACACTTCCCCCCCCCCCGCCACACTTGAGCAGCTAGCTAAAAAAAACCTGAGATGGTGCAGGCAGATTCCCCTAATCAGAGCATCCTGCTGGGGCCTGGCTACAGCCCTCCTTAGCTTAGCACTATAGAAGGGAAGGGAGGGCTGCTCTAGCATCACCCCTCTGTCTTCTGGCCTGAGCTACTGCAGGCATGTGCCTGTATTTCCTCAATCCAGAGAGAATGTCTGTCCAGTTATAATCTGGTTCAGCCTAGCCCAGTTAAACTAACCTGCAAAGATTGAATCAATTCAGGCTCAGGATTTTTGAATGCCTGTCCCTAGCCCTAACATCTGAGATGGCAGCAGTAGCAGCATGCTGAGGAACAGTAGAATGAGAAACAGCGATTCACCAGGTGGGGAGGGGAGGCAGGAGAATCTGAAGGAATTCAAAGGCAGAAATTCTTTCCTCTGTTCCCTATGTGCTCAGCACTTAAATCTTTTTTTTTTACTAAAATGCTTTAGTAAAAGCACTTTTCAAGAGACTGTTCTACTGCCATCCTAGTGTTAATATGCACTTAGAGAACACTATGAAAATTGTTACAGAGGATTTTGAAGCATTAGTAACCTATACATTTTTCCTTTTTCACTCACTAGATGGCCATATTTTTTTACTCTAAGTACCTGCAGCTATTCTCTGAGTTGAGCCTGATAAGATTTGCATTTCTCTAGCAGGTGGGTAATTTTCAACCAAATAATGTGGTGTGCTAAGATAAACAGATGTTCACAATGCCCAGTGCACAACTCACTTGCCATCCTGTAGGGAGTGTTTCTAGGATACAATCTATGACAACATTTGATTGTCCCATTGCTGATGGTATGAAATTAGAATTACAGGGTCAAGAGTCATCTGTTCCAACTCCCAGAAGCAGGGCTACCAGAAGTGGGCTTCAAACCCCAAAGAATTTATGTCTAGCACCTTAACCACTCAGCCATGTGGAAAATCATTTTAATTACGAGCAGCATAAGGTTTAAGATACATACTTGCATGGTAGTTCATGGGAACATACACTAATGGGTCCATTATTATATATGCCTACTAGTTATACTGTTTCTTTATAGCACATACAATTTAATTAATATTAAACAATATATTTCCTGATTGTGTCAAAAAGCTTGCATACAGTGCAGTGTAGTTATAGTATTTAAGCCTATATTTTGCCATACTCGAATGTACTGCAACTCCTTAAGTTCCTCAACATTACCTAAGCTCATCTCTGCTTCTCATGAAACAGCTGTGAATCAGCTATTCAACCCACATCAGCCTCTTTCTGCTTTTAGAATACAAGCTGCCATGGTTAGGTTGAAAAAGGATACAATTATGTCAGCTAAAATGTAATAATCAAATCATTTGCATTCAGTAGTGACTGAGAATAATACTGAATTTTGCTACTGAGTGTAAAATAAGCTACATAAAAACTTCAGCCTGCAATAGAATTTCCTATTTATTACTCAAAAGTTTCATGCTATCCTCTACAACGTTCACTCCTTTAAAAAAACAACAACCCTGAATTGTCCTATTTTATGTATGACCAAATGATGGCAATTTTTCCTTTGTGGGAAACTAATGCCTAGAATAGTTAAACTCTATATAACATCTGTTATAAAAACTCCCCAATATAAAAAGTAGACTCTGCAGACATTTATACAGCACTCATTTAGCTCTTTTTACAAAAAATAAAATTAAACTGGCAGCACTTTGATATATCATTAACCATATTTAGATCTCAAACCCAATAAAAGTGCCATGAGTTAAGAGAAAAAAACCACTGCAAAGAATAATGATTGAAAATATTCAGTATTGCATTAAAATTACCTTCCTAAGCTTAAAAGGATATATTTTCTTACATGTAAATTTAAAGTAAACTGTATTTTCCCTGCCAACAGAACAGTGTCCTTATACATAATATCTGTTTACAGAGTCTATAATTTTCCTCTTCAAAGGATATAAGTTGATCATAAAGCCTTATTTTGCGAGACAATAAATGGCACATTAATTGAGAAACTGTATATTACAATACCTGGTTGAACAGGATCAAGGTTTCAGTAGAACAATGGGATGCTGGCTGTGTTGTTATCACTTCCCCACACCATGGTTTGTTCTACCACCTAATTAAGAGATTCTGTATCACAACCCAACAGCATACAGACCAATAAGCATCTTTAATAATCCTATTTTCTTAAATATATATCTTAGAAAATTTTCATTAACTTTTACAGTTATCTTTAGAAGATTAATTCAGAGTACCTGGACTCTGTCTGAGGTAGTCTGCTCTACATCATCTACCTCTGGTCTCTGGGCTTTTTGGTCTGTAGAAGTGCTATTATCATCAATCGTCCACTCTACAAGTTGACTCCGCTGTCTCAATATTTCCCTGCTTCTGGAACCTTTATGGCCAGTCTGGTGATGACTTTGCAATACTTTGGCCACTGGTTTATAAGATCCTCTGCTCACCTCCACGTATTCATCTTGACACAGGCAAAATGGAAGAAAAAATAAAGCCAGCAGATACCAGCTGATGAAATCCTTGACTGCCATGTTATTCAAAATAATTTCAGAGGAGTCCGGAAAATGCCTTTCAGGAGAAGCCCCTTTACTCCACCAGTAGTTATGTGGTCCTTTCAGCTATTTCCACTATTACGCCTGGCACTTAGATCAGGACCAAGTTTTATACGGTTGTGTGCAATAAATAAAATGAAAAATGCCAAAGTGACAGGATCCTTCATCCAAAATCAGTCATGCCTCCTTAAAACAAGCCAGGCATTATTCACCACTTCACCACCACAAGGAAAATTGATTTGCATGCTGGAAACGGCCACCACATTTAACGGACTCCTGTGGTTCCTATTTGGGGGCATTAAAGAATGTAGCACCTTTTCTTTGGCATGTTTTTGTTTAAGTGTGAAAAAATGTGATGGAAATGGAGAACATGTGGCTAACGGTTTATGTTCCTTGATTAGACATGGAAAGGCTGTGAATTTACACTCTGAAATGTCTTCTGGATGCAGTCACCTTCCTCATTTGCCAGGAAATTCATACACCAACTGCGTCAGCTCAATCTGAAAAATCTTCCAAGAGCAATTAGGAAACAAAAGCACAAAAGGAGCTTTCGCACATGATTCTAACTCAGCGGCTATTTCTGACTACGCTTTTCATCCACTGAGAAAAGGAAAAAAATGTTAAATTTCTGTCAGGTGGCCAATGGTGGAAGGAGATTAGGAAAGCAGTTTTGAAAAACTAAGATTCACAGCACACCAGTTCTTAGCATTTAGGTTGACCTTCCTTGTCAGATGATATTTTTTCCCCTCAAGTTTCCAATGTTTTGCCAAATGCAACTGCCAAACCAAATTTTACCTCTTGGATGCTAGGTAAACACAAAATTACTGTGCAGCTTATTTCATGCTGAGAGAAGAGAACCAAAATATGGCATACATATAACGATACTCATTTCAATTTTTGAAACTGCTCACTGGTAAGACTCCACAATTGCAAGAGAGTCCTGCAAACATTGTATGCATTATTTTATAAATATATAGGTAGTAAATCTCCCAGGGCTCTAGTACAGTTATTAAAGCTACAAGGAAGGTTTCCTAGTATAAGAAAAGTATATGCTATATCAGGAAAGTGCTCAGGTGGCTGCAACTTTACAAGCAAGCTGTGCATTGTACAGTACCACTATAGTATTATGGTTTAACTAGTTTTACTGATACTACTGCATTTACACTAAGGGCCAGACTGTTCTACCTGTTAGGCATCTAACTGAACTCGGGCATCTATGTGCAATTGTATTCCACCCTGCTGAAGTCCTGAATGCATCTACCACTTTTGTAACAACTACATCTTCTTACCTTTAAGACTGAGTCACAAAAAAGCTGCCTAGCAGCCCAGTTGGGCTCCATGGGACTGTGCCCAAGCATGGGGGATTCTCCTGGGCTCCGTGTCAGGGCTGTGTGTATATTGTGGGGTGTTTCGTGATGAGGTGTGGGGCCAGGCCCTGGGACACAGGTGCCCAGATGTCAGGACTCATGCACAGGAAAACAGATGCCGCCCATTCCCCACCTGCCTGCAGCTGACAGATGCCTGTGGCTGCACGATGATGTAGCAGAGGGTTGGGGGCATGCTCACCTGTGCCCAGCAGCCACTCAGGGGTTGCCCAGGTGCTTGGCTTCACTCAGCAGTCTCCAGCAACCCAGGAACTGACAGGATATGCTGAGAGGCATGCAGAAGCACCCCTACCTGCTGGCCTCAGCCAGTGCAGGCAGCCTGCATGCCCCTCTCCCTCCCAACCAAAGGGCAAACGTGTGCTCCATTCGCTACTGATCTAACCTGTAATGCATACAGAAAACCACATAACTTAGATAGCTTCCACCTAGGGCTTTTCAAATGTCTCTGCTTAGCCAAAGTTTCTGTGGCTCCCATGAAGACAGACAGGCTTAAGGCTCAGACAGTAGTGACTGAGGAAGCACAGCTGTAGCTCCAGAGTCAATTGTTGCAATGAGTTCAGGCAGGAATAATGTTCAAACCCCTGTGGACAATAAGAAAGAAGAGAAGTTTAAATGGGCTGGAAGAGATTCATTTGACATGGAGATATGCAATTAAGCATGTTAAAAAAATGACTCCCTTTTTATCATTCCATTCCAGCTCAGGATGCCTTCTTTCTCCCAGATTTTTAGAACTTGGGAAAAGCAGAAAGCAGTTCAGGACCGGGGGCAGTAGATGAGGAATAAATGTATTGCCTAAGAGTGTGTACAAGTGTTACATTTAAATCATCCTAATCAAGGTTAAAAAGATCTAAATGCCCCAAATGTGTAAGTGTTCACCAGCCTCAGGTCACCCCAAAATGGCATGCCTTATCTAAAGTCAGTTCTCAACAGACAAGAACCAACTTCAGATGGACATGGGGTTAACTTAGCCTTGCAAACACTTGCATGGGTCTCTAGCACAGCCCCTAACTAGGAAAAGCCAGCCACTCTCCACAGCCCCAGGGTTATGCTGTTTCTATCCCCCAAACCCTGACCAGGCTGTCCCCTGGCCCAGGCTAGAGTCAATAGTCAGGAGCAGCTGGGTTAAGAGATAAAGGTCTGCAAGGCACCAAGACAGAGGCAATCACTGCAACAAAGCCACAAGCCAAGGGGTCAGGAACAAGAAGCTGGAATCTAAATCAGAGTCATGAACTTCGGGGTCCAGAGCCGGCACCTGCCACTGCAAGGGACCAGGATGTGGGCAATTGCCAAGCTAAGCCAGGAACCAGCAAGTCCAGAACAAAGGGATCCAGGGTTGAATGTGGGCAAAAGGGCCAGCTGACAGGAACACAGAACTGCAAAACTAGGAACCAACAGACAACAACCAAGTAAATAAGAACAAGGGGCCAAGAGCCCAAAGCTAAGAGAGAGGCACCTGTCCTGTTAAGTAGCCTACTGTGAACTGAAAGGGCTACTGCTAAGAAGCAGGCAGCCATGCTCATGCATACAACTGGGAAGTAATTAGGTTGTTGACAGCCAGGCCCATTCAGGACAAGCTGGGAGCAATTTAGCCTGCCTGCTGCCCTGACTCCTGACCCATGGAGATGATTGGACAGTATTCATCATGAGCTAAAGAAGGTGAGCCCCAGCAGTCGTACTGTAGAGAGCTTTACTGGAGTCCCAGTGTGATGGGGTTGATGTCACTATAACCCTCAGAGGCTACCACTGGGGTCCCCGAGTCCTGCAGCACATGAGCTGCAATATATCAAAGGAAGGATACAAAGAGCAAGGGATACAGCTTACTGGATGTTCATGCATACAGCACACACTTCCCCCCCACCCCCAACCAGATGCTGGTGCATTATATGCAATAAATATGGTAAGAACAGTTTCTGCCAATTACTGGCAAAAGTAAAAGTAAAATATATACAAGACTCACAGGCTAAGTACAGACAGTTAAAAAGCCCAAGGCTGAATTGATTCAATCTAAGCAGGTTTCTCTAAACTGTGTAGATTGAACAGATAAGCAAAAGAACAGACATTTACTTTTGATTCTAGGAATGCAGCCACGTGCCCAGGCCAGAAGTTGGGGGGCTGGGGGGTGCTAGAGCACACCTCCCTTCTTAGCTGGAGCAGACAGCTTGGACCAAGGCTAGCCTGCCCACTCTGTGAGGGGGAGCTTCTGAAGGTGGTGAAAAGCATCTTGGGAAGCTGGGAAACTGTGAATTAGCTTGAATCTGGAGGGGATCTGGGACAGAAGTTCAATAAACTGATTTAACCTAAATCAGTTAAATCTGATACTACATCCATCCAGATTTATTTTAAACCAGTTTCAGCCATTTTGAAAGTCGTTTATGTGCACTGAACTTCTGTTCTGTTACAGGTTTGAACTTGTTTCTGATCACTTATACTGGTTTATGTGTAACTTCTGTCCCTACAGGGAACACTGAGCAGGCTCTGGTCCCTGGCTGGTGCCACTCTGTTACTTACCACAAGGAAAGATTGTTTTTTCTTCATTCTGCCTTTCATAAACAGGGTGCACATTATATTCTGAGATGTTCTGTATGTGAGAAAACAGTATTTTACAATATCACTCAAGAGATGGAGCATAAGGCTCCCTGAACATTCAACCCCGAGGCCATATCGACATGAGCATGGATGTTTGGTTCCCCAAGGACAACTAGCAGCAGGACACCTTGTGCCACCACTAGTTGTCCCTGGGAAATACCCATGCCATGCACCCTCTGGCATGTCACAGGGTACCCTGGGTGAGGCAGGGGAGGCTGGGGCCAGCACGGGGCTGGCCCAAGCAGCCTTACCTGGGGCCCTAGGGGCCTACTGGGGCTGCAGCAGAGGGGATCCTGCCACTCAGAGACTGGCTAGCAGCTGGAACATTGCTCCGGCCAGCCAGGATCTAATTTTAAGTGACGCATGCTGCCCCCGCATGTGCCACTCTGTTTGGCTTTTTTGCATGGGTTTCTTTGACCCCTGGATAGCTCCTGAATTTACATGCGCAGTGGTCATAAAAACCCACTGTGCTGTTCCCTTGCAGCATGGAGAACAGCTGAATGTGTGGTATGTGGTGCTGTAGATGTGTCTGTCTGCAGCACCACATACTGCACAGCTGCATTCGTCTGGACGCAGCCCTAGAGTCCTTACAGCAGCCATATGGACAATGTCTCCTCCTCTTCCCATCTCTCTGCTAGCTTCTCTTATCCACCATCAAAATGCTTCCTTGTAAAACAGTGACCATAACTGTAGAGGTCCTGGTTCCTTTCCTTGAGGAGAAGCAATATTGGGGTTGCAGGTAAGAAACCTTGTGGACAGGGAAAATTAGGCTATTGTTTCTCAGAGCTATTGTATCTGATAACCTAAGGGCAGCAGACAGAATGACATCTGTTCATTTGTTTTAATAAGGGCTGGGAACTTTATTGTATCTAAATGCAGTCTTATATTTTGAAACACACTTCTGAGGCAAGATGGTCTCAGAGCCACTGAACATCTGGGGCCCTGCTCCAACAAATATTCTGGTTATTTCATGGGGTAGGGATGGAGGGAAAAAGCCTTCATAGTAGGGCAAGACAAGAGATTCCAGCTGTTTTTTTTTAAGTACAGTTACAGATTTTGGAAGCTGTTATTACCTAAAAGGTTTCTTTTTTTCCTGGGGAATCTTCTTGGTGGTTAAGCTTGAAAAACTTGGACAACATAGGAATGACTCATAGAAAACCATTAATCCAACTTGGCACTTGATAGTTTGATTCAGCAAGTGCTGAGGAGAACTGATGTTTTCAGCTGCTGTTAGTACTTTCATGGCTTGCCAAACTGTTCCAGGAGCTTCCTGTGGCATTAAGGAGAAAAATGTTTCCAATATGAGTAATGCCCATTCACAGCACCCATGTCTCAAAGAAAGCAGGAATAAAACCAAAACGATTTAAGCTTTGCATCCCCCCATCTGCCATTTCAAGCAAAAGCTGCAACAAGCATGTTTCTTGGCAACAATTTGAAAGAAGCAGTGTTCCCTTCCACTCCCTCTAATAAAGTCCACCTGGTTCCTAACCATCATTATTCCAGTGGTTTAATACAACA